TTGGACACACATAAAAATCGATAATTCTGACCGAGTGACGTCACAGCTTACAATTTACATTCATTTGAAAACTTTCGCGTGGGCGACACACGCACGCACACCGCGCGACTGGAGAGTGTAATCGGGTGTTGCGTTCTTATCAGAGCGCTGCCTCAGCCTCTGCCGCTGCCGCTGCTGACGCCGCTCGACACGTAGCAATTGCTCAGTCAAAAATGTTAATTTAATAAGCAGCTAGCATCAAGTCAAAGCTCAAATTTGCACGATAGCCGAAGGGAAACTCCCAAGCTCATCTTCAATCAATAATGAACAAAAGATATTTCTTTTGTAGTCATGTTAGAGCAACCTTTAGTTATTTCACACACAGTTGTTGACGTTTACAATTGTATTTACAAATATCAAAGGCGAAGAAGAAGAACAGCACACGACCTTTATAACGAAGTAGTTATGACATAGATGTCATCAGACGAAAAATAAAGTTTTCAGCGGGAAATGTCTTCAAGTTCTTAGGGCTCCGCGCCAGCTAGAAAATACCCTAGGTTTTGTCCCTCTTTCTCTTCTACATACTTTAAAATGAAATAGCTTTTGAAACTGTTGTCAGAAGTGCTTCATGGCCTTTAAGTATACTTCTCTCTTTGAAAGTAACTCTTTGTAGTTGATGCCAAATACCATAAATACGCTATTAACGCACACTCATCCGATAAAGTGTTTAGATTATAAACCCAACGATTAATGCCGGGTGTAGTAATCAGTTTTTAGGTATACCTCTATTATTCATAGTTCTTTAACAGTCATAAATGAGCAGAGCTCTTTATAATGCTGCGATCTGCACGTAATTTATTTCCATCATACCATGAATCCACTCAGGGCATAATCATTTTGTAGTACTGTGAAAGGACTCATTCTTTAAAACATCATAATGAACTGTGGTAAATTATAATAGTGTGAATGGTAAATTATAATAACGCAAAGGGAGAATACGTTTATAGCTGAACTTTTTAAGGTTTTGAGTGAGCAAATGAAAATATAATAATAATTTGTAACTAAGTGACTAGATCAGATCTTTTATATTAGGATATTACGATTGGGTTAAGAGATTTTGCAACAGTTGCAATTGTCTGGTGTCTATCATTTCAGTATAGGTAAATCCGTAAGTAATGCTAGGAGCGATTGTAGATGAGTTGATGATCAAGACAATCTAAACCTAACCTAAAAACATGAATATATAAGTATTTGATTGAAAACAAATTACTTTCCCTTTCGTTTTCCAGCCTTGTGGCTTTAGCTTTAATAAATATTTACTATTACATGCATACATATGTATATATGAATGTCCCTCTTACGCTTCTTTAAAAAGAAGGCCAAAAGTTGTCCCATATGAAATTTCCCTTAGTTTATGGAGTGGAGCCCAAGCGCAGTCGCTGCATAAGCTGCGCAGTAAACAGAGAGCGTGCTTATCTATTCATGTGTGTATGTATGTGTGTATGTGCATATTGCTTTTATATTTGCATGTATAAAACATGCATGCAGTCCTTGAAATGCACGATATAGGGCTCGCAGGGTATCTGCTAGTCGCTTTTAGTTGACTTATTTAATGAATTCTATTTTCGATTAGAATTTCTTGGTAAATCAACTCTCAAGCTAATCTCATTTGTGAACTTCGATTTGAATGAATATTAAAATGAATGCATATGCTATATATGTATTTTATATATATATATTTTTTTTTCTTTTTTTTTCCAAAATAACATTAAAAATTCAGAGTTGTGTGTAGGAACAATATTTTTAGCTTTAAGGTATTTCTTAGTCTATGCGCTGCATTGCCTTTTGTAGCAACTTAACTGAATACGTTAACAACAACAACAACAACAACAACAACAACAACAATTGCAACAATGCGAACAGCAAACCGGTTAAAGATATGGTCTTTATAAGATTTTACTAGAGTCTGCATCGTCATCGTAGTTGACGTAGTTGCTGCAGCCCCTTCTAAACGGGTTTCCTGTTGCCGCAGCAATTGCAGTTGCAGCGTGTGACGTCATCCGGTTGGCAAAGTCTACAAAAGCACTGTTATGAGCCGTCGTAATGCCTTTATTTATAGATCGGGCTGTCGCAAAAGAGATCAGCAATGAAAGAGCTCAAGTTCTCGACACCATGGTGAAAGTCTCTGCCTGCAACAGGTGTCAGAATGTGGCATAAGGCTGGCATAAGGCAGACATGACAGCCACAATTCCCGTTAAGCTTCATCCAATTACACTGTCAATATTGCGATAATATTTCAAAGTCAACCCCAAAGCGTTAATGGGCCCCCATTAAAAACGAGCGAGCGAGCGATAAGCGACTATACAAATAGAACTAAATATATGTATGTGCCTAGAGTTATGTACATACATATAGAAGTATGAAAGAACTGTTAGTTCCAATGGGTAAGTTGGAATATTCTTCGAAGACATGGTGCTCCCATTAGGCTATTAAATAGATCTAAACTATGCTATTTTTCATTCTGTATAGTTTACTCCAAAAACTAATATGATTTAGAAAAATACATATATGAAAACATGGCTTATACAAAATGTTTCGGGCGTATCTGCTCAGTTGCAATTGCATTTAACAATTCCATAAGCCAGCTCTACTAATCTACATATATAATAAAAATATATGTATATATATTAGTTTTTGGTTATCTCTATATCTCTCCATGTGTAAACTTATATGACAATATATACAATAATACATATAGAGAGCAATATGCTAAACTGAGCGATAGCCGAAACATGATTGGACCAGTATCAATTAAAAGATTTATACAAATATAAACATATTTTCATATAATTTCTTGGTTATCGCACATTCCGCTTTATTTCCAAATATTTTGCGGGCCTTATCTCAATTTGGTTTGGATTTTTGCAATACTCTAGTAAAGGGGCATTCTATTATTGGCTTTGCAAATAATGAAATGATAATCAGACATTATATTATATTACATTATTAAACACAAACTGGAACTATGTTGCACAGTGTTTGTTGCTGCTTCACACTTAAAATGCGGAAGGATTAAATGCCTGATATGAATTTCATGGAAATGCGAGCTGTTTACTTGAATCTCATGTGTGTCTCTTATGTATGTACATCACATCACGGTGCTGGAATCATAATTATGCAAATGTAATCAATATTATTCAGATTCATATTGATTTACTTAGCTCAACCCCTGCAATCCCTTGATAATTCAGCTATGATGCGGATAATCAGTTTCTCCTTAGTAAAAATATATATAATGGCGATAGCAACTGTTACGCATTACAGTACAATATTAATAGAATAGAATACCAACCAATATTTAAAAGAACTCAGGTTTTAAGTTATTATACAATAAATACTTGACACTATATTATACTATCGAAAATAATCTCTATAAAAATAAATTCGATCAGGCGCAGCTTTAGGGACTAAGCTTATCGATACTTACTTATCGATAGCTTACAAATTAATTAACAAACTACATAAATAAATATTTCTCTTTAAACTGTCCCTGATAATTGATCCAGATTAGATAAATATGCTTGTATAGTAATCGATATGTTATCGATAAACTAGCACAGTAGCCTACTGAAAGGTAACTCTTATCAAATTCCATGCAGCGAGAAAGATGAAGCCACAGATAACTATATTTGTGTAGCGATCGATATGTTATCGATAATCGAACACTGCAAATAATTGCAAGTCAACTCCAATTAGCACACTTTCAAGCAGCATTTCAGACAATATTAACACATTTTTAGCATCGCAAACCAACAATAATCCCAACTCATCATTTTATATGTATGTACATATATCTGACAAAGGCGAAGAATAGATCTTCACTCAAGTGGACTACTTGTACATATACACAAGCACTTAGCTCGATGGGCATCCCCAGATGCTAATTAACGAATCATGCTGAATCGACCTCACACAAGTTCAAGCAAACCAGCCAACACATAAGCCAAACCAGAAACTAGGCCAAACACTGCTCCACTCAGTTCCGACTTGAAGTGCTTCAGTTTTGATTGAGCTGTGAAAGGGAACGAGTGCAGCTTTCCCATTGGGAGAGCGGGCGATCGGTGCTCGAAAGGAATGCAAACACAATATGCAGCATTGAGGGCAACGAAAGTCGGAGCAAATCTATTCAACACTGGTTTTTGTTCGCACTACAGCAAATCCGAATCATAAAGTGAGTCAGACCGTCACAGCAGGAGACATAGACGACGCGTCGTATATGTATATACCTTTCCCCCTCTCTTTGTTTTGGTCGTGCTTCTATTGTCTTCTCTTAAAAGAATATTTAGTCATAGAGCATATTTTTGTGTATTATATTCAAATAAGAGTGTTTTAATCGGGTGTGCCCGACTTGTAAATACCCTGAGCTCTACGTAGTGCTGCTACGTCAGTTCCGATAATTCGAAATCACAAGAGAATAGCAATTTTTATTTTCTTTATAATTCACTTAATGTTTTGATAATCAAAAATACTATTTTACAATTTCCAAAAAAATAAAACAATAGGGAACAAAAAACCTATGAAATTTCTACGAATTAAAAAAATGGCTCCTAGGGGAATAGCAATTTTTAGGAATTTTTTGAGATTAATGCTTCGGCTGGGTTGACCTTATGGGCTTTATTCAGCTATCCAGGGGTTCTCTAGTATTAGAAATAAATATTTTGTACAATTGGGGGAAGGGGATATACATACATATGTACATATGTATATACAATTAGCTAAATTGATACATATCCACAAAACCATTATATTGTCATTTTCAATGAGTAAATAAAAAACATTATACACTCACGTAATACCTTAAATATATTAATGAAAATGTTAGCAACATAGGTTAATTGTGAATTTCGTTATCCGAATATTTTAGCTGACTGTCTCCGACATATCTTAATACAAATATCTGTCGTATATACATATATATTTTTACTACGAAACATGTTTCAGTGCACTACGTTGAGTGGCAACTTCGACCTATAATATTACTCATTGTTTGCGTTAATAATAATTGAATTGTGACTCACCTTTGCGGCCGCAAAGCCATCCGGATTGCAGCTGGGCAGAAAATGAATTTCGGTTGTGTTGAGTAGGCGCTGCACTTCGGTATCCAGTTGGTAGCTGCTGGCTAGATATTCAGCCATGTAGAGCACAATTTGGCGGCCGAGTGCCTCGTCGCCCTGGATGTTGGCCACCAGCTTGACCATGGGACGGAGCAGATCGTCGCCATTGCCGTTCGGTGCCGGCGCATTCAATGCCAGGGCATGCAGCTCACGGCCCTGTATGGAGCGACCTATCGAGTAGGTCTGGGCCAGTGCTGGATAGTCGCGGCTGAGGCGGGCAAAGAGTTCGCCGATTTGCTCATTGTTTAGATAATGCGGATTATCCAGAAAACTGTCACCTTCATCAATCACTTCGACGTGCTCGATAACTGGACTGGCGGCGGCGACACACGTAAATGCGAGCACAACTACGTAAGCGCAGACGTACATTTTGCGACGCGCGACACGTAAGCAACGTAAACAAAAAAAAAACAACAACAACTAAAAGCGTGGGCGCAGGCGCGCGCTCCGCTCACTCTCTGCAATTACCGGCAGGCCGTGAGTGGGATCGAGATGGGAAACACTTGTTGTACTGCGCGATTTTTTGTATTTGTATTTTCTTTGTTTTCTTTTTCTTCGGTATTCACAATTTTAATTAAGGCACACCAGACGACTCTTGATACCTGATTTAGCACTGTTTCAACTTCTGTGTTGGCTTGCTTTCTTTCTTTGCACTCGCAACTGGAATCCGACTTGATGACGTGCACTTAGAGCCGCTCTCAACTTACCTGTAGAACGCAGTACACACACACGTATTCAATTCTGCATTACGCTTAACTGGAGAGGCCGCCAATTACTTTAAGTTGCACAATATATTGTTTATTGCTTTCTTAATAATACAAACAAAAATAATATATAAAAAAAAAAAAACAACTAAATATACACAATTATCACCACGTCTATTTGGTAAAAGTGAGAACCGACGACTCAGATTGCTAATTGCTTAGCCAAGTTCCCGTCGATAATGTAATGATTCAAATCGGTCAGATTAAATCTATTTAATTTCGCCGGAGCATTCGATTTGCATCGTTGAAAACCAGTTTTATAGCTCGTTTATTTAAAAACTTAATAAATAAATAATATCTTACAGTTCCAAATGAGTAATTCCTTTTAAATTGAACTATATATGTTCACGATGAACAGTACTAAATGAGTATTTCATTTAAAAGAGCGGCAAATTTTGCCTGACTATCGATAATATACATAAGCAAATATTTGTTTATTTATTCATTAGAGATTAGAATTACTAAAATTAGAATGACAAAATATTACAAATGCTGATGATATTAATTCCAGTTTGGTTTATATATTAAGGGCTTGAAATAAATTTATAAAGAAACATATTCATGTTCCTGAAACATTGAAAACCCAAATTGTCATATTCTTTTCAATATATATTTTTTGTTTTATTAATTTTATACATTTAATTGTTTTTGTCAATACAGCAATACATGTATATATTTTTCAAATACAATCCAATTAAATACTCATTTCAATAAACTCTAGTTTTGTATTGTATTTTTGAAATGATTGAAACACGATATTATTTGAATTCATTATGCTGGTGCGTGCTCTATTAATCGATGATTATCGTCTCAGATTCCTATCGATATTATGCTCATGTTGGCAATAGCTATCGTATTTAAATATCGAAATGCGTCTAACGGAAAACAAAAAATAATGTATTTTATTTATCTGCAATATTTTCGCCAAAAACTTATAAATATATAAGTCTCAACCTCGATTTCCTAATTTCGACGCGTCTAGTTGTCACACAAATTCAATGTTTTTATTTTATCGGTATAAATATTCTGTTGACATCGCGCCGTTGGTAAATCTTAAAATTAGTAAATCCGGAATAACGCTTTCTGCTAGTCCATTTCAGCGTCAACCCCTACGGTGTTGAGCCTATGCGTTTCGCTTGTGGCACTTGCCACTGTGTCAAGATGTTGGCTTATTGTCCTTTTTCCCACCTGACCTAGGGGCAGTGGACGATTTCGAGTCCGCTGGCTTCGTCATGTCAGCTTTATCGCACTGCACCTCCAATAGCTTCACATGAGCGATTGTTTGCCCGAAGAGCTTGTGTCTAAGGCTTGGCCTTTTGGCCTCTATTCGGTGCACCTTAACGTCGGCTGACAGCCCCAATTCCGTCAGGTTCACTTCGCATTCGCGCTGCCTCTGTCTGTGACGCCGTTGTCTGTTGCGATGCTTGCTGCCCGCTGTTAGTTCGTTGGAATACTGCAAACTGCAAGAGGGAGTGCTGCTGCCGCTATCGCTGTGATTGCCTGACTTGGCCTGCTTCGTTCGGGAATGCTTCTGCTCCAGCTCGCACTTGTTTTTCAGAGCCACCTCCTCAATGTGCCGCTCCTACGAAGCGGAGGAAGGGTCATTTAGAAATAAGAGCGTATATAAGGTTTAGGGTTCAGGCTTAGAATTTACAAGTTGTGGCACCTACAAACATGGCGCGCCTGTGCTTATCGCGCTTGGCCAGAACCACCACCCAGGCGCCGTAGGACAGCATAATGCCAGCGGGCACCAGCATCCCAGCCAGTGCAGCAGTCTTCCGTATCCAGGCATGATACACAGCCATGAAGATCACTGCCAAGGAGTAGTGATAAAATTAATTGCTTAAATGAATTCGATTGCAGAGAAAACGATCCTGATGAGGCATGAATTTCTGTTGAAATTGTACTGATTGATCGGAATGATGGACTTTACGGACAACAATTAGTCCCATCCATGTGGTTCACATACGTATTGATAAGTGGTGTGAAGCTGTAATGGCTTAGGTTTAGTTGAGAAGCGCAGAGAAAATCCTCTGACAGACGGACGGACATGGCTAGATTATAAATATCTATGTCTTGAAGATCTATTTAAATAATCGTTTGAATTCTGTATGTAATTGTATATTTTAATTAGTTTTTTGGCTTATCTGTATATTCTTACCTAGAAAGGCAACAATCACGGCCACAAGTCGTCCATTGGCTTTTCGTTCCTCCTGCAAAGGAAAATTAAGTTAATTATCTGAATAGTTAATATACATACATACTTAGATTTCTTGAGTAAAAATTTACCAGCCAAACCAAGAATGTCATTTGGCTATGCCCTAGAATATGTTATTTAAATGCCACAAAAGTGAGAGAATTATAATTTTCTGTGCAATTCCCTTGAAATATTTCCCATTTTGGATAGTTCCCTACTTGAAAACAGATACAATCTAGACATCAATTCTATTCTATTATCAAGAAAATACGTACATATGTATATAGTAGAACCAAAGCTATTCAAAAGTTGCTCTTAATTTCCCACAGAAAACCCTATATTTGTCGCTGCTTCAACTGCGCAGTAAGCAGAGAACGTGCTGGGTGAGTGTATGAAGGGTAGAATGATTGGAGCAGAATTTAAGGGAGGGAGTCTCTCCCAACTGAAGTACTAGCAGAGTAAATAATTATATTTCAAGCTTAAAGTCGGGTAGACATTGCACAAGATTTATATAGACTTTATAAGGGCATCAATGACAATTCTTAAAGAATTGTATATATATATGTATGTATGTATGTGTGTAGAGATCATACGTATGTGTACATATGTATATCTATAGGCGCGGCTGAATATACTTTGTTGTATTTGAAGCTGTAAGAGAAGAGTATGCCTATATTAAGCTGTAATATTCCATGAATGGAACGATATACATATGTACATACACACATACAAGCTGGCATACTTATGAATGTGTGCATGCGTGTGTGTTAACATTGTTTATAATCACGTTCGCGCAAGTTTTGAGCATCTGCAATTTGTACTGTTCATATAGACGTGCATATCCGATCGAGGTATACATATATATGTATATACACACATATATATATATTTATACATATATATGTGTCTATATTGTAGATATGTGATTGCAAATTTTGATGGCGCTGTTCATATGGTCTCTGCGCCACACACACACACACACGTATGACAGCCCCTTAAACTTTGGATGAATCAGTGTTGGAATTTCTCGTTGGTGCCAGGTGCAACAGCACCATTAATGATAAGAGGACACCGACTCACTCCTTGGTACACACTTACTCGCGATTTGATGTCGAGGATTTCCTTGAGATTCTGTTGTATGATATCATCGTCCGACATGGACGTGATGCTCGTCCTGCTTTTGCCACGCTCCAGCGAATCTGCCACATTTGGTATCTGCATGGCCAGCGTCGCAGCTGCTGCGGCGCTGCGCACTGTGTGGGATTGTGGGCGATGGCCAGTTGCCATTGGGCTCATAAATTGGCTAATTGAGAACACTGGTTAAGGAAAGGCAGATGCCAGCTAACTGGATGGAAGAACGCGCGGCACAATCAGAGCGTTACATTCGGCCCGGAGCGTCGAGCAATCGAAAATGCTAACTGAACCGATCTGATGAAAAATCAAAGCGATCCGGACATCGTTTAATGTTATTGTTGCCCTTAGTTTCATCTCTCCGGCTCTACAGCTCTATGGCTCTACGGCTCTCCATCCGCACGAAATTTCGGTTCGAACATTTTTGTGGCCGAGCATTTGTTTTTAAGTATGTATCGAATCCAGCAGCAGCAGCACACAATATTTACTGTTTGTTTATTTACATTACAGTGAATGATTCGGAATATGTGTACATATATGTATGTATATATGTACGTACATACATATCTACATGCATCAAAACTTGTGAGCACATGGCAAGTGTATATGTGTAGATGTCTGTATATGTATATGTACATACATATATTATGTATACATACATATGTATATCCATGAATGTGTTTGAGCACTCGGAGAGCCGAAGCCTTAATACACTCTCGCCCATTTGCGGTTTTAGTTTATGATCATAGTTCAGACAATAGATTTAGAATAGATTTTTGATAAGTTTACGTTCGTGTATGGCATGCCACTCTGGCCTACAGCAGAGTTGTGGCGCATATAGCTGGTGGTATAGGGTAGGCATTATAGTTATATGCATACATATATACGTGAGTTATGCAGCAAACTGAAGCGTGGGGTGTTTAACCGGTCGAGGGATACCTCACGAAAAACGTGCCAAATGGCTAGTTTTTGTAACCTAAATAGAAAATGAGAAAATCGGGGAATGGGGGTTTCCTGGCATGTCAGATATGAGTATTTACATATACACTACAGCAGGACAAAGAACCGAGGCGATCTAGCAATGTTTGTCCGCATGAGCGACAAAGCTAGATCCTAGACACTAGAGCTAGAACAATTCCTTGAGACAATCCAATATGAGTATATCATTTTCCTTCCGATAGATCGTGCCAATCTTTAAAACCCTAATATTAATAACATTCAGTACTTTGATTATGTATTTTTGACATAGCTTGAATACCTGAGATTTAATTATCTTTGAGGATTCATCAATTGAAGGCATTATAGAGTATCTGCTAGTCTGCTGCGGCCGAGAAGTTTTACTTGTTCAATAAGTATAGTAACTGTAATGGGAAGTGCCAGTGCAGGAGATTAATAAAGCCTCGTGCCGTAGAGCTCTTGCACACATTGAGTCTTGAGTCCAAACATATCTATACATTTACATACAACAAATTGCACATATGTATGTACGTTGGATTTATAAACTAAATGTTGTTTTCCATGTCCGATTCTTATAATTTTCAAGGCATATTTATGATGTACATCTGTTTATATTTACGCACCTGAGTAGCAGACGTTACTATTTGAAATACGAATTTGTGGAATTTTTCGTGATATGTACTTAAAATAAGCCCATCGTGATTTTGATAAAAATATAGAAATTTCATATTAAGTACGGTAGGAAATATAGGCGATGTTATAGATGAATACTATTTAAATGCTTATGTAGCTCTATATATGTATTTGTATATTTAAATTTAAAAATTAAAATGATTGATAAAATATATTTATGAAATAAAGAAGAGATAACAGCATTTTAAATAAACGTTGAACTATCAAGCCATCAATCTTTTAAGCTATGGTACGTATATTTGTGCTTATCGATTTTTTTTACTCAATTTGGCACTTTTAGCAAAGTGTTACATGTTTATCGTTTGGCCCGGTAGCAAACGAATATCAAAATTAACAGTGCCAAAATGAGTAAAACATTGATGCAAATTTCATAGAGAAACCGTAAAAGCGAATTTTATTTAAGAAAATATTTTGTACTTGATTCTTTTGTAGCAAACTACCTGATTTCATATATTAAATTTATCCTAGTTGTAACGAGCTATCATAATCAAGTCTTCATAGAATACAAATTCACTCGTCAGCCGGCCTCATATCTGCTGGAACAAACTAGTCATAAAGCAAAACTACATCAAACTAAACAGACCTCCAAGTCATTCATAATATATTCATATATTTAGAAATAAAATATTTTCCAAAATATATTTTTTCACAAAATATTACAATATAACAATATATTCGCAACATTGGAACTGTTGTAACACGAGTAATCGGTACTCCTTCAAAATTATTCGATTAGTAAAAGTATCGCAATTCGCAACAAGCGCGCCCATTTTGTTAGCGTCCGGAATTGGTTTTGCACAGTTTCAAACGAGCGTCGATTTAAGCAAGATTGAAGATTGAAACACGTGTAAGTTTCAGAAAAAGTGCAATTTATTGTAAAAGTTATAATGTTGATGCAAATTTTGTGCCGTGGCATGTACTAAAGTGAACGAATGTTGTTTCTTTCGCAGGCAACGGACGCTAGCGTGTAGTCTTAATTTGTATATCCTTAGTTTGTTTTTTTTTTTTTTGGTTTTTTTTTTTGTTGTTTTGACTTTAAGTATGGAGTTACGTATGTGGAAAGCGCTACTCTTGCAGTGGGTAAGTTTGTTAAAGGCTTTACTGATACCGGCTATGGATTGCCCGAACACCCATTAATTTCTGTACCTCTCTGTTAATATTAGGTTCAGAAATGCAATTTCCTTACAAATGTTATATGTCTTGAAGATTCTGAAATCGAGGAATTTTTCAAACAATATACCCAATATGTTCAAGTTGGGCAGTCATCTGGACGATCGGCATCGTCGCCCAAAAGCCCATCCCCATTTTCTCCGGGAGAACTGCAGACATTTCTAAAAGGTGCATGCGGACGCTCAACACAATATTATAGTGAATAATGAATACCTCTGTTTTTAGATGTGTATCCACACTTTAAGCCGCTTCTGGAGCGCAATGGCCGCATAATGACAAATGATTATGCCTATGTCTACACACTTCTCATGCACTACGCTTGCGTTCAGTGCCCGAGCGAATATTTTCATAATATTTGCAGGACTCTGCCAGACCTTACACAGCAGTACATAGCGGCATTTTTCACTCAGGCTATGATAAACCCAGATATGAATCGCTCTCACTTGCGCGAGACCATTGCTGGTATCACCGAAATAGTTGAGAGTGCAGACTCGTCTCCGACCCAGCCGCAGTTGCGTGGCCTCACATTCCTAACTGTTGGCGCCACATTCGACAATAATGGCGATCCAAAAGCCTCTGAGCTCGATGGCAAAGATTCGGCCTCAATCGACAACGATTCGACTGTGGGCACGAATTTTGCCACTCCCAATCCAGTGCAACGTGAGCTGAGCAGCTTACTAGATGTCAGCCTAAATTACGCTCCGTCGACACCAAAAACAGTGCTGCTCGAGCAGCGCACACGCGAGGTTTTAGGATTGCGGGTAAGAAATCTAACAACTCAACAACATATAATCTTGCAGTCATATTCCAATTCATTAATAACTTCCGCAGGCTCAACTGGAGACCGAGCGCTATGAAAAGACTGTTTTAGAGGACCAAATTTTGGAGAATGAGCAACTAATCAATTCACTTAGTAAGGGTATGGACTGACTTTTCGACTTTTACAAACAAACTTAATTGCAATTTAATTTCTTCACAGAGAATACTGTAAAAAAGCAGCAATTGGCCAAGCTTGAGGCCTCGCTGGAATATGACAGCGAAGAGCGTACATACATACATAACATTGTACCCGACGAAATTGAGAATGTATGTTATTGAGTGCCGAACGCGGCGCAGGTAGACGCCGCTTATACCTGAATCTTTTATTAATTCTTCTCTTTTCTACCGCAATAATAGTTAAAACGACAGCTGCTCAAAGAGATTAACAAGAAGGAGGCTTTTCTTGCACAGAGCAGAGATGAAGTACAAGTGCTGAGGGATAATTATAACATATTAGCGGAGAGGGTACGTTCCAACTTTGAGTTATATCTAATAATATTGCATTCGCACATATATCGCGTAACTCAGAGTACAAATGTTTATGTAGGTTTGAAAATGTATGAAAATAGAATATAGATAAAAGGTAGTCTTAAACACAGTAATGCAAATATTTCAGTGACGGAATAGAAAATTTTATTATTTGATTTTATATATGATTGAATAAATTTATGACTAATTGCACATAGCACATAAAATTTTATATAAATTAGTTTCCATATTAATGTACGCTATGTTTGAGGCAATTAAAATGTTTTCCTAAGGAAGAGAAATAAAGCGTGGTCAGAATCTCCGTCTTAAGCCGTTCCGCACATCAAATTAACTCTTATTATATCCCATTTTTATCTAATTTACACTTAAACAACATTATGTATTATAAAATGATGTAAGATAATTCGTAAATTTTCAATTTTTTAGAAAGTCTGCTTAAAATTTCACTTAACCGATTTATTTCATTCTCAGCACAAATCCTGTGAAGAACAGCTTTACGATTGTCTTGATAAGGTTGAAAATCTGGAGCTCCGACTGGCTGCTGCTACTCAGTCGTTGACGACCAAGGATGCTGAAATCTCTATTCTGTTGCGTGACAAACTGGAGGTGGAGCGATGCCTGCAGGAGGCTCGCACCGAGTTGCATAATGGCCGTGAGGTTCTCAACGCTTCGTCGGATTTGCTCGATACAAGTCAATCGACGGCTAGTATGAATACCACACCGGAAACTTTAGCTAGTTCCGTCATTGACAAGCAATTGCGCGAGAAAGAGCTCGAAAACGATGATCTGCGCGATCAACTGGACGCCATTGCACGAGAAAAGAAGAGCATTCTACATGAATTGTTAATGATCGTACAGCCTTATCAACCAGAAATAAGTTTGTCGCCTGATTACTCACAGATATTGGGCCTGGTAGAGCGTAGCTTTGAAGATATGGCCGACCGCTACAAGAGAGAGCAGAAACTTGTGAAGGAACTGCAGGCTGAGATAAACGAGTCCAGATCGCAAAACAAACTGGATGAAGAGGGTACAGCCAACAAGGTGGAGGAGGCCTTGAAACCGAGTCAGTTTGCTCCACCAGTAGATGTTGTGCAGTGTGACATTGCCGTTCAGACAATCAAAGAAGAGAGTCGGTTAACTCCTTCAGGAGAAGTTGCACAGTGTGACATTGCCGTCCAGACAATTAAAGAAGAGAGTCAGTTAACTCCTCCAGTAGATGTTGAGCAGTGTGACATTGCCGTCCAGACGATTCCAGAACCGTCCAAAGAACAGCTTCACATAAAGGATGCTAAAATAACGAAAATCGGTAGCGAATTAATTAAGATTTGTGGTATAAATCGTATGTTATTACAAAATCGCTTCATTACAGAAAATCAAGACCCATCGGTTCGTACTCAAGAACTACAAGATCTTGAAATGCGTATTTTGTCTAAGGCAGAAATAATTGCTGATCAGGAGAAGCAGATATTTATTAACCAGAAGCATATAAACGATTACCAACAACAGCTAAATGAGACAAACGGGCAGCTTCAGGCGGCAGATCTGAAGTTGAAGGGTATTCAACAGCAGCTTGACGAATATCAACAGAAGCTTAAAGATACTAAGGAGGCGCTTAATCATGTTCAGGAAGAAAAAATTGCTGCTGAGCAGAAAGTGGGGCAGAAGCTAGTGGGGCATGCCAGCGACTACCAGCAGCAAATTGATAGCTACCAGCAGCAGCTAATTGAATATCAGCAGAAGCTTAACGAAACTCAGAAGCAGCTGAATAATAGTCAGCAGGAGCTGAAAGAAACTGAGAAGCAGCTGAATGGTAGTAAGGAACAGCTACAGGCTACTAATCAACAGCTAAACGGAACTCTAAAGCAGTTGAGTAGCTATCAACATCAGCTGACTGATTACCAGAAGCGGTTAGCCGGAACTCAGAAGCTGCTGGATGATCATGAGAGTATTCAGCATCCAATTGATAGTGAGCAGGTGGTAAACGAGGCTCAGCAGGAACTAAGCAATAAGCAAAAGCAGCTGCAGAGCTTCATCCAAACAATATGCGCTCGATTTAACCTAGAGGCAGCCTCGGAAAATGGCCTGGAAGAAGTCGAGAAGACTTTGATAGATTGGGTAGAGCAAATGGAGAACCAGCTGAAGCAAAAGGAATCCGAGATATTGCAGCAATCTGAAGATCTCGCGGATGTAAGCACCCTCACTGATTGCATCTTGGACAGTATGAATCCGTATTTGAGGCCAGCTATTGAGGATGTTAACACAGAAGCGTTGCCCTTGAAGCTAAAATTCTTGCACAATCAACTTAAGCAACTTGTGATGAATTATGAACGAGCGAACGAAAAATGTAAGGCTCTAGAACGCAAGGTAGAGCAGTCCGTAGAAGTCAGGAGACAGGAACAACAAACAATGGAAAGGCAGCACAACGACGTTATTCTGAGGCTGACAGGCAAACTAGGTCAATTAGAAATGCAATGTGATAAAGTATCAAAAGAGCTGACTCTGAAAAAGCTAGAATGCGAAAATATTGGTGAAGAGCTGCGAATCCAAAAGGATTTAAATCTGGCTCATAGGAATGACGTTAGCAAAACAAATGGGGACTCAAAGGACAGCGTCGAGCACAAGTTCCAGATTGACCGAAACATTAATATTAAAACTGAAGAAGCAACGGTACAAAATGGTAATCATATTGAGACCGAGTCTGTGGAGTTGGCTGCAATTAAAGAGGGACTGACGGCTGCCAATCAAATGCAAGTAAAATTGGAACAGGAGCTCAGGGAGAAAACTTCGATCATTCAGATGGGAGAATCTACAATTCAGCGGCTTCAAAAAGAGATTATGGCCAAAACTAAGCAGTTTGGGGAGCAAAAAGACGAGTTGGAACGGAAACTTGCGGAGCAAACTAAACTCTTTCAGACAAGCGAGTCTACGATCGAAACGCTTCAAAAAGAGCTCATGGAAAAATCTCAGCAGTTCGAGAAATCAAAAAGCGAGTTGGAACAGGAGCTTAGGGAGAAAACGAAGCTAATTGAAATGGGCGAGTCTACGATCGAAGCGCTTCAAAAAGAGATAATGGTAAAATCTCAGCAGTTTGAGAAATCAAGAAACGAATTGGAACTGGAGCTTGCGGAAAAATCGAAGATAGTTCAGATGGGCGAGTCTACGATCGAAACGCTTCAAAAAGAGATAATGAAAAAATCTCAGCAGTTTGAGAAATCAAGAAACGAATTGGAACTGGAGCTTATGGAGAAAACGAGGCAAATTGAAATGGGCAAGTCTACGATCGAGACGCTTCAAAAAGAGATCATGAAAAAATCTCAGCAGTTTGAGAAATCAAGAAACGAATTGGATCTGGAGCTTGCGGAAAAATCGAAGATAGTTCAGATAGGCGAGGCTACGATCGAAACGCTTCAAAAAGAGATCAAGGAAAAAACTGAGCTGTTTGAGAAATCAAGAAGCGAGTTGGAACGGGTGCTTGCGGAGAAAACGGAGGTCCTTCAATTGAACGAGTCCACGATTCAAGCACTTCAAAAAGAGCTCGTAGCTAAATCCGAGAACTTGGAGAAGATAAATAGTGAGTTGCAACGGGAGCTTGCGGAGAAAACGCGGCTCCTTCATATGGGCGAGGCAACGATCAAGACACTTCAAAAAGAGATCATGGCCAAATCTGTGCAGTTGGAGAAGACAAAGGGCGAACTTGAAGAGTCAGAGCAAAAACTGAAGTCTGCTCAGCAAAAGTTGGAGCTGGCTTTGCAGAAGGTGTTGGAAAAAGATTTAGTCGCAACAGAGGTTCATGATTTAGAGGACTTATTAAAGAGCGAACAGCATAAGAATTTGAGCCTGGAACAGGAGAAAATACAGCAGATAGAGCAGAAGCGCATCATCGAAAAGCAGCTGGCAGATGTTCAGTGCCTGATCTGTAAGAGAGAGGACGAATTGGAGAAGACCAAAACACAGTTGGAGGCGAGCACCAAACGATTGGAGAAAATTTCCATTAAACTGGGCGAACAGCAAGCGATATTATCTAAAACGCAACGGGAAATGGCTCAGTCCAAGGCAAGGCAGACCGAACAGGCAGAGCTAATCATTGCACTACAAAACGAAAAGGAGAGTCTCCAGATGGAGTTGCGCAAGACAAAGGAGCGTGCGAGCCGTTCGGAGGAGAAGCAGGCCACCTTGGAGCAGCTACGCATTGAGGCAGAGTCAGAACGCGATGCACACCGTGATCAACTACTGAGGTTTGAGAGAGAGTCGAAGAAAGCTCACTGCATTATTCGCGATCTGGAGCATCAGGCCAAAGCGACAGAGAATGAGAAGGTGAAACTGGTCCATGAAATTGGTGGGCTCAATTCTGAAATTGTGCAGCAGAAGAAACAGCTATCAGAGCTGAAGGACCAGCTGCAGCAGTCCAAAGATGCAATGCGTGACCTAATTATAGCCAATGAAAATAATGCCGCTGCCAGTGCTGAGCAGTTGGATCAAGACCGTTCAAGTCTGCAGCAGCTGAAGTCAGAACTGTCGACTGCTCGCCAGGAACTGGAGGCAGTGAAGCAGCAGCACGAGTCCCTAACGTCTGAGCTAAAAGATAAGTTGACTGAACTTGAGGCGGAGCGCAGCAAGAGCAAGGAATGCGAGCTAATTTTTAAGCGTAAGCAGAGTGTTCTGAGTAAGGAACTGGAAAAGTGCAATGCTGAACTTGCTGAGACCCGCAGCGCCCATGATGAGCTCATAAAGGCAACTGAGATGCAGACTATGGAGCGCTTCAACGAGTTACAGGAAACACAGCTACAATTAAAACAGCAGCGAGACACCCTTATTCAGCGCGACCTCGATTGTCAGATATTGCAGGCAAAGTATCGTGAAACCAAGGAAGAGATGTCTCGCTGTGAGCAAAGGTTGAAGGATCACCGTCTAGAAATGGAAGGCAAACTTGAAAAAATGAAGTCCAAAATGGTAAGTAAACGCCCGAGTTGTTCTACCTTATAATGTACTCGTATGCTTCTTGTTGTCTGATGTGTGCTGGATTTAACTATTATTGATTTCGTTCTCTCGCACAATAACTCATTAGCCTAATATGACGCTGCTTTAAAGCAAATATTAGTTATTAAAAATTAAAATATAGTTAATTTTCCATTAATATCCGAAGCTTTTCTATATCAAAGTTCATTTGAAATGTCTAAATTTAATGACTTCAGTTTGTGCACTTTTCCTGTAGACAAAAAAGGCTAAAAATAAACGATTTCAATTTGACTTTCTTCATTACTGGCTAGCAGATATTTATTAGTGGATCATAAATATATGTAGAAAAACATTTCGTCTTAAGATGATGCCAACTGTCTAAGTATATACACTCTGAGCCCCCATTGGAAGGTGGAAGATGGTGTGGTAGATCCTATTGAGTATATGTATATATCGTTTGTCCGTCTGCAATTTCACTCTAATTCTTGATAATTTGATTTAGCTGCTAAGTGAGTTTCTTTAGTTTAGGATATTTCCTAGTCGGGCACTCTCGACTTGAGCGTAGTTGTCCAAACCAATTTCAGTTGTAGTCAGCGTCAGGTGTGAGCTCGTTTGAATTCAGTATGGTAGATGTTGAAATGTTGAAATATTAGTGCCTTAAGGGGCATCATCTATGGTCTTGCGCTTTCGTAGTTGTGTCTGTCCTGTTCTGTCATGTTATCTGTGTGTGTGTTGTTGGCTGGGACTGATTAAAACGCTCTAGCAATCAATCATCAGAGGAGGGGCGATTCGACCAGCTGTTGCTTAAGCCTGCCCTTGTAGATACGCATACAAACGATTTCAGCAAGTAGATTAACTAGATTGTCAATCACATTGTAAATTAAATTGCATTTTCTTTGTTTCCTCTTTCTCTTTCTCTACTCCACCAACTACAATACCTTACTCTTATCACTTATCACTTAACACTTTGCATACACACATTCATAATACGATTTGAATCAGCGTCGCGAAGCAGGCAAATACAATCAAATACGAAAATGCAAAGAGCATAAAGAAAACATCTGTTTAAGACTGCTGATTATGTTGATCGTTGTCTTGGGCATAACATACTTAATTCTTCAGGCCAACAATGTTGATATTAGTCTAGTATTTAAAAGTCCGCGTGAATTTTGAGTTGATGACCGTCCGAAAAGTTTCTTTAAATGTTTGTAAATGAAATTAGCTTTAATAAATGTTCTGTGACTGAATTACAACAATTCTAACAAAGAGTGAACAAAATATACAAAAAGTATTCGACATCAAAGTGAAAAAGAAGCTAATCATAATTGTATTATATATATAAATTTGTCTTTTTTTCGTTTGCTTTCGATCCTATTTTCCTATTTGGTTTCACTCAACCTCCTCAACCACTCACCATTCACTCCTACCTACTCACCATGCACTGCTGTATTTTCATGCACCACTTACTCTTACTACTCACCACTCGCTCTTACTATTCACCACTTTCCCCTTGTGCTTTTACTCACCACTCACCACTTATCCCCCCTCCCCTGTGCTTTCGCATACTACTACTCGCCCCTTAACTCACCACTCACCACTCACTACTCACCACTCACCACTCACCACTCACACACTTACCACGCGCCACTTACCCTAAACCACATAATCTGACAACTATAGCGCACACTGTACACGGCGGAGGTGAGCCGCATCAAGGAGAAACAGGAGCGCGAGGCGGCTAACCACAAGGCTGAACTGGAAAAGCTGAATGCTCAGGTGAGTTGGCATAGCTGTTAGAATACGAGTGACTGGCTGTGATAATAATAATCATGTCTTCAATGGAAGCTGGTCTCAAGACTAAGTGCCGCTGAAAGAAGCAGGGCATAGTCGAGACCATTTCGAATAGATATTCATATACGAGCAGATATCTATATCTATAAATGTCGCGATCGAACGATATAGAATTCCATTTCCCTCTATAATCTAACTGTCGTGAATTCACAAATACCAAATACTTTTCATTCTCACACATTGTAGGTCGCCAAGTATGAGGAGCATACGCGGAAGTTATCTGATCAGATAATGCGGCTGAATGAGAAGCTTTTGGAGGAGCAAAAGAAACATGCGATTGTCAGTACGCAGCTGCGGCACCTGCAGGAGGCGGAGCAGCCGGCAATGTCATCTCTGCCCGCTGTAGAGGACTGGCAGCCGTTCAAGCGGCCAAGTGCACCGTCCGCCAATCTGGGCAGCAATCTGGCCATGGAAGACGAAGAGGGCGAGGTCTTCAATAACACCTACCTGACGGATCTTAAGCTGGGCACCGTGCCCAATATGACGTACGTCCATCTTTCACTTACCGTGCAGACAAATTTAATATTCACATGATTTTTGGTTTTTTTGCTTTCATAACTGAAGTGCCGAAGAGCTGCAGTATCGGAACTCGCTGCAGCCGCCGCATTTGAAGAGCGCCTATGCGGCGCAGTATGACCTGGGCGCCCAGGAGGACGATATTAAAGTAAGCATTCAAAAACCATAGCGATCAAGATGAAGGGAGTGTTTGAGGGCTGAGGCTTTTCGCTTGGTTGGTTGCATCTCAAATAATGGCCAATGGCTTTAATGTGTTTTAATGTACCTCATCTTTGACAGGATGGGCCGCACAGCCTGGACGACAGCATGAGTGCGCTGCTGAGCACCACAGATGGCAACGGTGTTGGTATGCGCAAGAAGTCCATGGGCACCCACTATAAGCGTCCGGGTCCGCCAACGCCCAGCAAAAATGGTGGACGTCTGTCGTTTGGCGGCTCGGAGCCGCCGCGGGAAATACTGCGTGAGACTTGTGACAATAATGGTACGGCCAAGACACCGGCTCGCTTTAAGATCTTTGCATCTCGCTTCAGCATTGGCAACGGCGGCGGCGGCGGGGGAGGACAATGTCTGCCACGGGACGAGGTAAGAAAAGCAAGCGAAGAGCATCTGTGTGTTTCTGTCGTCTCCTCTTGTGTTTTAGCCTGTGTTTACTGCCTGTTGTCGTGCCCCTTATAAACGTCCTCGTGCTTTTGTGTGGTTGATGCCGCCACGGCCCATTAAAAGAATAATATGCTCCTTCACAGAGGCGGCGTCACCGTAAAGAGAGCCTGTTAAAGGGCATTATGCATCGCCGTACATTGCAAACAGCGTTTTGTACATCGACGCCGCGCAGCAGCCGCTCCTTCTATGATCAGCGGCAGCAGCTAATTGTCCACGGTGATGGGCCACCCGATGGCCAGCAGCCGCTAAAGCAAGAGCAGGAAGTGACACCGCACTTGAACGATGCTCTGCCCTTGGCGTCGTCTAACGATCAGAACGGTAGGCCGAGCATCTGTCGCCGTCGCTTAATAACAACCAGCTCGAGCAGTAGTCTAACATCCGCTACCCAAAGTGTCTCAAGTGGACGCCGACGTAAATCCATTTCACGCAAATCCATTCACTTGTACGGCAATAGGGGCAGATCCCGTGCTAGATTGTCCTCGACGGCGCAGATGAGTCACAAGCGCATGCAGCAGCGAAGCAAGATTAAGGATCAACGCATTGGATGTTTCGATAGAGGCAGGCAGCTGCTCGATACTGACGATGATCCGACAGCAGAACCAGAAGAAGTTGAAGATGAAGAAGAAGATAGCAAAGAATCCTTGAAGCTTGCCAATGGAACGTATGCCCTACCCAAGCCGAATGAGAACAACAATTACTGCGTGCTCAACCGCAATAATGGCCCGCTGATGGCCATGGGTGCCACGGTGCTGTTGGATAAGAAGTCCTGGAATTGCCTGGACATCAAGGCGGAATCCGAGCTGGAGCACAGCAGCGATTCAGAGGCGGCCACTTTTAGTGTGGATCGGGCGGCTGTGAATAACTCGCATTCCCATTGGGATGACGAGGAGCAGCCAGCTTTGTTGAAGGCGCTGGTCGCCAAATACGAATGCGACCGCGACTCCAACTTGGCTGCGCTACAGCAATTCGAGGAGGATCACGTTTGCGCCTGGTTGAGTGACGGCGCTAGCACTAGCATCGCCGCCGTTAACAATCTCAGCTACGATATCCATTTCGAGGAGCTGTGCCGCCAGACAGCCTCGACGGCGCCCTTTGAACTGCAGCCGCTGCAATATAGCTATGAATTAGTAGAGACTGTGCCGCAGAGGCAGGCGCACAGCGCGTCCAACGCCACGGAGAACACCTCGAACGCCAGCTGCAATACCAACTGTTCGTCACTGCAATCGTGGACGACCTACTCGCTGAGCCACATTCGAACGCATCGCTTGCCGCATATAAACGTGACCACCATGAACCGGCTGAGCGAATCGAGACACTTACCCCATCGCAGGCGTGGCAATATATTGCTGAATCTCTGGCAACGCCGGCGGCATCGAATTGGCCTCATCAAATCCCTCAGTCTCGGCATTGTCTTGTTCCTATTTCTAATGCCGTTCTGTAGCTATCTGACGGCCACAGCTGCCGTGGGCTTGATGCTGTTGCTTCTCTAGCACAGTGAGGATGTGGCAGGCAGCAGGCAGCAGGCGGCACACAACAGGCGATTTTATAATCAATAATCAAGATTGCAATCGAAATTTGTTTAATATGAGAAACTTCCGTTGTTCCTTTGCAGAACTCGCCACCGAAGCGACGGCTCAGCAACATGTTCAAACGCAAATAGATGTGTTTAACTGCAATATACCATATAGATATCAGATGAATATCAGATCCTGCCGCGGCCACACTTTTGTACAGTTAAATGTTAATTGCCAGCCGAGTGAAACGCGCTGCTGAACTCATTTTTTTTTCATCTCTCTCTCTCTCTCTCTCTCTCTCTCTCAGTTTAAGTCGATTCTTTGTAAAAATAAGTCAAATAATTCTAATGTCAATATAAAATGCACATATATCTTTATTTTTGTCAATCGAAGTGAAACTAACACGTTCTATGTTAAGAGTACTCTCGCTTTATATATTGTATTGTATATGAACAAATATGTTAATGAACTCTCCTCTATGATAAACAATATATTTGCCGTGCACATTAATATACATTCATGTGTATATATATACATATATATGTGTGTGTGTATTTGTATACTAGCCGAAACGAATGATGCGTTAAGGCGAAATTTGAACAGATCTTTTTATGCAACAATAAATGGTTTCATATTAATATACATTTAAATACCAGTTTATATATATATTTATATATATAAATATGTATATATTGATATTATTACATATATTTGTATGTAAGAACTGTAGATATACAAAAACTAGATACTTAACGCCTCGAATTCCAATACTTGTCTTGTATTTGTATTGAAACATCTCAAAGCCGTGTCTCACTTAGCTCCAGCGTGCACCAACAATACGTCAAGCTGAATTTGGATGGGAATATTAATGATAATAATAAGGAACCTCCCAGATAATGGTTACTCCATTTAAGAATATTCCAGTGGAATGAATGATGCGACTTAAACATTTAAAGAGATTTTCGAATAAACATTAGCATATTTAGTTAATAAAAGCATCAAATTTATATGACAGTTATGTGATGTTTTCGAATCTATTGTGTGGACAAAAATGATAAATTAATCCGATCTGTATCCATTGGCATTTGCACTTTAGCTGTGAGGCGGGGCATTGAATGAATACTTTTTAGGACACCGCAAATGAAACGAGTTTCGTTTTTTTATTTTAATTTTTTTTTATTTTCGAAGAGGAAGGCAAGCAGGAGGCTCGCTCGCAGTGGAATCAGACGAACCAGTATTTGGTTTTGTGCCGCTGACATAATTTAGCATATGGTTAAATATAGTGGATAGTAACTGTGACTAAGCCAAGTGCGCGCAGCAACAACAACAACAGCAACACATTTATGTAAAATGTAAGTTACAAACCTGACCGGAATAGCGGTTCAGGTCGGCTACCCTCTCTCTCTCTCTCTTTCTCTCTCTTTGTCTGGCTCTCTCGCTCTCTTTCGTTTTTTTAGCCGTAATAGCTAGCCGTAAACTGTTTGTTTGCGCTCCCAGATATTGCGTCGTCTTCGCGATTTCCATTTTCCCATTGGCATCAGGCGTCATAATAGATCGCCTAATAGACCACATGCATATGCATTTATGCGGAATATCCGTAGCCTGATTAGCAAACTGCGTTTCAGTCAACAATCGAATTCAATGTGATATATTTTTAGGAGAAATATAGGTACATATACATACATATGCATGTCTATAGTAGAACAGATTGAGTGTATCTGGGATGAGACTAAGCTCTACGAAATAATACTAACTGTTATTGTTGTAATCAAACTGTTGTTGGTTATCAAGAGATAAAACTTTAGGCATTTTGCAAATGCTACAATGTCGTTGTTATCGTTTATTGTTATTGTTGTTGTTGTTGTTGTTTTGTTTTTTTAACTAAATAATCTTGTCCCAAGTCGAATCAGGCTTTATACAAAATCTACATATTGTTTATATGCAAAAGTATGTTCGTATGTATATTTATTTACTTATTTTTGTCGTCTCGACCGAGCGATCGATCGATCGATCGATCGATCGACCGATCCACAACAGTATTCAAATCAGTGGATAGGCCCGAGCAGCAGCTGAAGCCGAAGTTGCAGCCGTTGTTGTTCTTCGTCTCGGGTCCGGCCGAAGCGCGTGCGGTGCCGTACATATGTATATATGTACGTAGGTATGTCTTAGAAAATCGTATATATATATATATATGGCGTATATATTAAAGCGGCCAAGCGGCGCAGCCAGAGCCGATAAAAGCACCAAGAGATCAGCCGAGTAAATCAGTTTTGATTTAGACCAGAATTCGCATCGACCTAATACGATACGCCAACGCAACCCAACCACAGCCCCAGAGACCCATCATTGAGATTGCGATCACCAATGCTTGTGTGGAATGAAAATCAGGATTCCAATTTTACATTCATTTGAATACTGAACTGAGCCGCCCCGCCGAGAAGCCACAAGCGCGTGTCCGGCAACTGCCTCGATTTGGTTTAAATTCTCGACTCTCCTTTGGGCCCTTGGTTGTTTTTTTTTGTATTTTTCTTTTGTTTTTTTCTGTGCCAAAAATCGTTCATACCCTGCTCTGGTGATAATGCTTAGCAGTGCTGTCAGCAAAGATCACAAGTTTGAAAGCCGCCGCAGCAGCCACGCCAACCCTCCGGCAACAGCTCCCAGCAGCGGAGTCGCAATCGTTGACGAGACGCTCGCCCAGGAGCTGCACTTGCAGAAGCTAGAAGATGATGCTCAGCGTCGCACTCAGTGGCAGATCAAGGGCTCCTCTCTGTCCCTCAACACGCACAATCGCATTCGCAACATTGTCGAGGCGCTGCAGATCAAGCCCAATCCACAGAAGCCCATGATACCCCTATCCATAGGTGAGTAGCTCCATAGAGAGTCGATCGTCTGATCGTCGGCTTAGAATATTTTAAAATTCTACTTTCTGTGCCATCAAATTACAGACATACATACATATATTTGAATTGATTATATCGATATGGTAGATGTGCCAAATCTCGCTTGTCTCTGAGGGGGGCTCGCTGGCTAGCCGGCTGGCCCTTTCGAGACGCAGCTCCAATATTTCGAGCTTCTACTTTTTTTTTATTTTTTATTTTTATCAATATTAAATCGTATTATTTTGTGCTCAACTGAAACTAGTTTTGTGAAACACTCGTTTCATTTTGTCAAATATAAAAATACATTTATTTAAATATTATGGAATACTAATATATCTATAAATATCTAGATCTACATCGAGGTAATTAAACGCAAATGGCATTTCCACATGGAATACATTTCGTTTTGTCAAAAATACAAATATTTATGAAAATACTTTGGAATAATATAATATCTATAAATACCTAGATCTACATCGAACTTTCTTCAGTTTCATATGCATTTTTATGATGCTCGCATATTGCGTATTGCCCCTTAATTTATTCAAAGCTAATAGGGCGGTTCCAGAAGCCACAATTCGAGCTCTGTTACACATTATTAGTATTATTATTATCATTATTATTATTATTAATATTATTTATTCTTGTTGTTTGTGTTCTTTTTGTTGTTTTCATGGCGTCGAGCGCGCGCGCGCGTTTTCAATGCATTTGCATAAAATGTAGTTTCACCTGTTTGGAGCAAGATCAAGAATCGAATTTGCTTAGAAGGTGGAATATTGTTGTCCCACATGGGACGCAATGACAAGGCGGAAACATGCAAAAATACGCGAAACGAGTTTTAGGCCGGGTCGGGGAAAATGAGTTAGGATCTAGCGTAATAGGGCAGGCCTTAGTCGAATCCACATTTCTCCCATAGATCCTCTTCGAGTTGAAGACATTGTACTACATAGTTCATCTCATTTCGTAGGTGATCCCACGACGTTCGGCAACCTGAAGGCGGCCGATGAGACCATGAAGGCTGTGCTCCGCTCGCTGGAGAGCGGCAAGTTCAATGGCTACGCCCACACCCAGGGCCATGAGGCGTCGCGCCAGGCGGTGGCCCAGTACAGTGCACATCAGCGTCCTGGCGGCACAATCGATCCCAGCGAGGTGCTGCTCTGCAGCGGCTGCTCCTCGGCCCTGGAGTACTGCATACTGGCGCTGGCCGAGCGCGGCCAGAACATATTGGTGCCCCGACCGGGCTTCTGCCTCTACCACACCCTGGCCGAGGGCCTGGACATTGAAGTGCGCTACTATGAACTGTTGCCGGAGAAGCAGTGGCGTGCCGATCTCCGGCAGCTGGAGAGTCTGATCGATGCCAATACGGCCGCGCTGCTGATCAACAATCCGAGCAATCCCTGCGGCAGCGTCTACGATGAGGAGCACCTGCTGGAGCTGATTGACATTTGCGAACGCCACTATCTGCCCATAATCGCCGATGAGGTTAGTGCGCATTGAGTTACTCCACGATCCTTTTACCACTTGATTTTCTTTGTCTTTGATCAGATCTATGAGCACTTTGTATTTCCGGGCTCGCGTCACGTGGCGGTTAGCAGTCTCACCCGTGAGGTGCCGGTGCTCTCGTGCGGCGGTCTCACGAAGCGCTTCCTGGTGCCCGGCTGGCGCATGGGCTGGATCATTGTGCACGACCATCACAAGCGTCTGGGCACCGCACTCAACGGCCTCAAGAACATGTGCGGCCGCATTCTCGGCACGAACACGATCATCCAGGGTGCACTACCCGACATACTGACCAAGACGCCGCAGTCCTACTTTGATAGCGTCATCGAGGTGCTTCACGTGAGTGCAAATTCGATCAGCTCAGCGAACAAACAGTAAATCCCAATAACACAATATTCATATTCAATATAGACCAATGCCCAGCTGGCGTACAAGATGCTGAAGGCGGTGCCCGGGCTCAATCCCGTCATGCCGAACGGCGCCATGTACATGATGATTGGCGTCTGCATTGAGCGCTTTCTGGCCTTCAAGGACGACACGCACTTCGTGCAGGAGCTGGTCAACGAGCAGAGCGTCTTCTGTCTGCCCGGCAGCTGTTTCTCCTATCCGGGCTACATACGCATCGTCCTGACAGTCCCAGCCGCGATGCTCGAGGAGGCTTGCGTTCGCATCGCCGAGTTCTGCGACACGCACTACAAGAAGGATAACCGTACGCTGATCGAAGACGGTCTGCTCGAGGATGGGCATATACACTACTGATTGGATTGAATTGGAAATCGGTTTATTGGTTTGGTACTGTTACTATACACACTCACACTCGCACACACACACACACACACACACACGCACACACGCACACGCAGGCACTCACACAGACACTTTATTAGATGCTCTCTAGGCTACAATTGCTAGCTTGTTATACATTAGTGTTACAATAATTACCTAAACGTATAATATAAGAAGTATTGTCTTTAAAAACATTCATTCCTCCATTAATATATGTATGCTTGTTTATAAGGAAGTATGTATATACGTAAGTCCGATGGTAACTTGTAAGAGAATCGACGTACATCATGATGTGAATGTGTGAACATGTTTGGTTTCCTTTCTTTTTTTTTTAGAATATATGTAAATGAATAAATATACTTAAAAGTAACGCTCGTATAAGTTAGAATCCGGTTGTAGCGATGCTGAGGGGAACGTCTTAATATCCGAACGACGCTATAGCCGTATATGTTTATTCTCAATCACCGTACAAACTCTATAAGCGGAGTCGTTCTAACCGGAGTCTACTGTATAGGTATGTATATGTGAGTATGATCTCCACTTCCTGCTATGCATAGGCATCGAAGAGCATCGCTTGAGTGCATATACATATGCATGTATGAAATTTCCTATGCACTCACATGTCATACATACATACGAACTCTGCAGGAGTCGGGATATGTACCGACATGTATATGGGTGTATACCCATTATATGTAACTATATATAAATATATATATGTATATAGAGTATAGGGAAGGAAAAGAGTTTAAGAGCTTAAAAGAGTATTTCAACAGTTGATATAAACATATGCACATGCACACATACATACGTATATGTACCGTGCACTACCGATGCATAAATGACGTACGCTTGAGTAATAATAACTTTGAGCAAAAGAGTTGGGAAAATAGATGAGCCACTTGAGATTGGATGCGGAAATCGAGTACGGACACTTTGCTGTCTACATGTGATGCGGATGCATTTTCTTTTCCATGTGCACCTCGACCCGGGCCTCATCGATGCTGGCAACCGTTGGCAGTCCGCCCGGCCAGTGCAGCAGCTCCTGCTCGTGCTCCATGATTATATTCGCCTCGGCTGTAAAATGGAGTGATTATTGACGATGATAGAGAGAGAGAGAGAGAGAGATGATGATGATGTACCCTGAATGCGGTGCAGCTTACTGCCGTACGCCCAGTCCGCATAGTAGCCCATGACGAAGGTGAGCGGCAGCAGCGGTGCCAGTACCGAGGCGCGCTTGACCCGCTGGTAATAGTTGGCACAGCCGCAGACGGCGCTGATGTAGAAGCCGCTCAGCCAGTAGAAGAGCTCCCGATGCTGGGCAATGGCCAGGGCCTGTTCCCGCTGCTTGATCTGGTAGTGCATCTGAATCCAGCGCTCCATCTGCATGGGGTTTCGTTAGGCTGGCCAATGCCACAAGATTAGATAATTGCACTTGCCTTCAGCTCCTGGCACTTGCGATACGCCGGATCATCGTGCTCCGGATAGCTCACGGATTGTGATTTATTACGCGACGATGTTCCGCCCATGTTCACTTGAAGCACTTAATCGCACGCCGTTTAGCCCACCAAACGTGACACCACTCTCCACAAGTCTGATGACTACTGTGTGGCCATCATCGACCCGTTTCTTGGCACGGCCAGTGCGCAGGCGCCGGACACCCAGAGCGTACACCCTGTATTTGGCAGGATGTCAACTGTTAGGCACTCCGCCGTAGCAGTCTGCATCTGTGTACGTCCCTGGAATAACCGTTGGCTCCGAGCGCGCATTCGTTGCCCTCCAATTGCAGTTTGCCGTTTCGTTTTCATAATTTACTTTTACTTTTTCTTTAGTTGAAAATCAGTCACAAACAAAAGAAAAAGAAAAAGACGGTTCTGGTAAAACAGTAAGACATTCCACTTGGCATAACGCGCCTTTGAGATGGAGGCAAATGATAAAAAAGCGCAAACTCCGATTGAAAACAAAAGTATGTAAGCAAAGAGCTGATAAGAAAATGTAAGTACGATATGTGCATAGGTATGTATGTATGTGTGTGTGTGGTAAACAAGACAAGTGAATAAGTATACGTGTGTGTGTGTGTGTGCAGGACTCTCTCTTGCCTTGCTCATGGGGGTTGAAAGCGCTTCAACGTGCTGATATATGTACATACATATATCTATCTATTGACAGTAGTATAAATTGTGACTAATTGACGTCTCTTCACACACACACACACACACACACACTTAGATACGCGGACAAGTTAAAGACATTTGCGCCTTTGTCTTGGCGGCACGGATATTCACATAACTCACGGCCCAGGCGGGAGCAAGATGCGCTGCTTGAATGATTGACCGCTTACAAATTCGTCGCTTGGGTGCAGCTGCTCGTAATAAACGGACGGGAGGCAGCGGCAGCTTTCACTCCGCCAGCGGCATCACAACGCCAGCGACGGCCAGCACCAGTTCCTCCAGCGGAAACAGCCTGACACCGCAGCAACACCAACAGCATCCGCAGCATCCGCAGCATCCGCATTCCCATCAACAGCAACAGCAGCAACAGCATCCGCACCAGCATCAGCATCAGCATCCGCACTCGCATCTGCGCAGCTCGCAGCAGCAAATCAGCCATTTGAACTTTAATCCATCGCCGGGTAGCAGTCCTTGCAACGGATTGGGCACACGCCAAGATGCATCCAGCGTGCTCAACAGTCCGACCACGATTGTGAACTCGGGCAGCGGCAGCAGCACGGCCTACGGTGGGATGCAGCAGCAGCCTGGCGGCTTGTCAACGGCAGCCGGCGCGGGAGCGTCAACGGCCATCGGTGGCCAATCCTCGAGCAATGCCCACAACAATGGAGCCGGCGCCTCAGTGTGTCCTGTGGGCGGCGTTGGCGGCGGCCTCAATCTGCTGGGCGGCATTGGCGGCCTGGGCGGTGGAGCCGCCGCGGCGGGCATGGGCATTTGCGGTGGCATCAGCAGCACTGTGGGCAGCGCCGCCATTACGGGAGTGCCACCCATCGGATTGGGCATCGCCACTGGCATCGGCAACAAGATTATGCTCGGCAGGAAGCAGAGCCTCAAGGGCGGCGAACCCTTTCTGGCCGACTACGGCCCGGAGGAGTCCCTGAACGAGAGCGCGGACATCGAGTGGGTCAACAAGCTGTGGGTGCGCCGCCTCATGCGCCTCTGTGCATTGGTCTCACTCGCCTCCGTCTCGCTGAACACGCCCAAGACCTTCGAGCGTCATCCCTCGTTGCAGTACATCACCTTTGTGTCCGATACGGCTGTGACGGTGCTCTTCACGGCCGAGATGATTGCCAAGATGCACATTCGTGGAGTACTGAACGTAAGTTAACTCGATGATGAGATGAGCTTGAGCTAACGTACTCCGTTCTCCATTTCTTTGGCAGGGCGAGGTGCCCTATTTGAAGGATCACTGGTGCCAGTTCGATGCCTCCATGGTGAGCTTTCTCTGGGTCTCCATCATACTCCAGATATTCGAAGTGCTTGAAATTGTGCCAAAGTAAGTCAACATCAATGCGAATTCACTGCATCGAAACTTCCAACCCCTTTGTCTTATTCGTCTACAGGTTTTCTTATCTATCTATTATGCGTGCGCCACGTCCGTTGATTATGATACGATTCCTGCGAGTTTTTCTCAAGTTCAGCATGCCCAAGAGTCGCATCAATCAAATTTTCAAGTAAGTGAAGAACCATCTCATTTCGAAAACAGTCGATGACAACTGGAGCCTTCCCTTTTCAGACGCTCGAGTCAGCAAATCTACAATGTGACGCTCTTCTTCTTATTCTTCATGTCGCTATACGGACTGCTCGGCGTACAGTTCTTCGGGGAGCTGAAGAATCACTGCGTCATGAATAATACGAATTATGATCTGCTCGGCAGGCCGTAAGTATATCGAGTATGGCGATGAGTGAGCGCCCTTCTAAGCATTCTCTCTCTCCCTCTCTCTCTCTCTCATTAGGATACTCACGATCAATTCGCTGGCTATACCCGACACCTTCTGCTCCATGGATCCAGACTCGGGCTATCAGTGTTCACCGGGAATGCGTTGCATGAAGATGGACTTCCTCAGTAGCTACGTCATTGGCTTCAATGGCTTCGAGGACATTGCCACGAGCATTTTTACGGTCTATCAGGCCGCCTCGCAGGAGGGATGGGTGTTCATCATGTACCGGGCCATAGACTCTCTGCCAGCCTGGCGTGCCGCATTCTACTTCAGCACCATGATATTTTTCCTAGCTTGGCTGGTGAAGAACGTCTTCATTGCTGTCATCACGGAGACCTTCAACGAGATACGCGTCCAGTTTCAACAGATGTGGGGAGCCAGAGGGCATATCCAAAAGACGGCCGCCTCCCAGATACTCAGTGGCAACGACTCCGGCTGGCGATTGGTCACGATCGATGATAACAAGCACGGCGGCTTGGCGCCGGAGACATGCCATGCCATCCTCCGCTCGCCCTACTTCCGGATGCTGGTCATGACAGTGATCCTGGCCAATGGCATTGTGACGGCCACGATGGCGTTCAAGCATGATGGCCGGCCTCGTCACGTCTTTTACGAGAGATATTACTACATCGAGGTGATATTCACCTGCCTGCTCGACCTCGAGACACTGTTTAAGATCTACTGCCTGGGCTGGCGCGGCTACTACAAGCATTCCATACACAAGTTCGAGCTCCTGCTGGCCGCTGGCACCACTCTGCACATCGTGCCCATCTTTTATCTGTCCGGATTGACGTACTTTCAAGTGCTCCGTGTCGTGCGCTTGATTAAGGCCTCTCCCATGCTCGAGGGCTTCGTCTACAAGATCTTTGGGCCCGGCAAGAAGCTCGGCTCCCTGATCATCTTCACCATGTGCTTGCTGATCATCAGCTCCAGCATTTCGATGCAATTGTTTTGTTTCCTCTGCGATTTCACCAAGTTCGAGTCGTTCCCGGAGGCCTTCATGAGCATGTTCCAGATTCTCACACAGGAGGCATGGGTGGAGGTCATGGATGAGACCATGATACGCACCAGCAAGACGCTGACACCACTGGTCGCCGTCTACTTCATACTCTACCATCTTTTCGTAACACTCATCGTGCTCAGTCTTTTCGTGGCGGTCATTTTGGATAATTTGGAGCTGGACGAGGACATAAAAAAGCTGAAGCAGCTCAAGTTTCGCGAGCAAAGCGCTGAAATCAAAGAAACTCTACCATTTCGCCTACGAATCTTTGAGAAATTCCCAGACTCACCACAAATGACCATTCTGCACCGTATTCCCAACGACTTTATACTACCCAAGGTGCGTGAGAGCTTCATGAAGCATTTCGTAATCGAACTGGAGACG